TTAAAGGTTTCCAGATCTAAGAATCTTTTAATTCTTTTGTCTTCTAATACGACATCAATCTAATATAATTGGTGAAGGGCCGCAGACCGTAATTGTGCATTATTATCAAAAAGAAAATGAATAAAGTCAAATAAAAAAAAAAAAAAAAAAAAAATAAATGAAAATAAAAAATAGGCAAATAAAATGTAAATAAAGTAGTCAAATAAATAGATAAATAAACAAATAAGCTAATTCACATATGAATAAATAAAAAATAGGCAAAGAAAATGTAAATAAAGTAGTCAAATAAATAGATAAATAGACAAATAATCTAATTCACATACGAATAAGAATAAAAAGTATATTAAATCCTCGCAGGTGGAGAATGGGGACCCAGGTGGTCGTGTTCGTCAACAACTTCAAACTGACCAAGGAAGTTTTCGCCAGCAAATCCTTCACCGATCGACCGGGCTGGGACATGATCACCTTGGAGGAGAAAGTTCCATTGGGTGAGTTTTGGAATGTTTTCGTTCATTTTTGTTCGTGATTGGAAAGCGAGTTTTGGAATGTTTTCGTTCATTTTTGTTAGTGATTGGAAAGTGAGTTTTGGATGTTTTCGTTTATTTTTGTTCGTGATTGGAAAGTGAGTTTTGGAATGTTTTCGTTTATTTTTGTTCGTGATTGTGAGTTTTGGAACGTTCATTTTGTTCGTGATTGGAAAGCGAGTTTTGGAATGTTTTCGTTCATTTTTGTTCGTGATTGGAAAGTGAGTTTTGGAATGTTTTCGTTCATTTTTGTTAGTGATTGGAGTTTTGGAATGTTTTCGTTCATTTTTGTTCGTGATTGGAAAGCGAGTTTTGGAATGTTTTCGTTCATTTTTGTTTTGGAAAGTTTTCGTTTTCGTTCATTTTTTGTTCGTGATTGGAAAGCGAGTTTTGGAATTTTGTTCATTTTTGTTCGTGATTGGAAAGCGAGTTTTGGAATGTTTTCGTTCATTTTTGTTCGTGATTGGAAAGCGAGTTTTTGGAATGTTTTCGTTCATTTTGTTCGTGTTGGAAAGCGAGTTTTGGAATGTTTTCGTTCATTTTGTGTGATTGGAAAGCGAGTTTTGGAATGTTTTCGTTCATTTTTGTTTGATTGGAAAGTGAGTTTTGGAATGTTTTCGTTCATTTTTGTTAGTGATTGGAAAGCGAGTTTTGGAATGTTTTCGTTCATTTTTGTTCGTGATTGGAAAGTGAGTTTTGGAATGTTTTCGTTCATTTTTGTTGTGATTGGAAAGTGAGTTTTGGAATGTTTTCGTTCATTTTGTTCGTGATCGAGTTTTGGAATGTTTTCGTTCATTTTGTTCCGTTCATTTTTGTTTTGGAAAGTTTTTGGAATGTTTTTCGTTCATTTTTGTTAGTGATTGGAAAGTGAGTTTTGGAATGTTTTCGTTCATTTTTGTTAGTGATTGGAAAGTGAGTTTTGAATGTTTTCGTTCATTTTTGTTAGTGATTGGAAAGCGAGTTTTGGAATGTTTTCGTTCATTTTTTGTTCGTGATTGGAAAGTTTTGGAATGTTTTCGTTTTTTTGTTCGTGATTGGAAAGCGAGTTTTGGAATGTTTTCGTTCATTTTTGTTGTGATTGGAAAGTGAGTTTTGGAATGTTTTCGTTCATTTTTGTTCGTGATTGGAAAGTGAGTTTTGGAATGTTTTCGTTCATTTTTGTTAGTGATTGGAAAGCGAGTTTTGGAATGTTTTCGTTCATTTTTGTTCGTGATTGGAAAGCGAGTTTTGGAATGTTTTGTTCATTTTTTGTTAGTGATTGGAAAGCGAGTTTTGGAATGTTTTTCGTTCATTTTTGTTTGATTGGAAAGTGAGTTTTGGAATGTTTTCGTTCATTTTTGTTGTGATTGGAAAGCGAGTTTTGGAATGTTTTGGTTCGTGATTTTTGGAATGTTTTCGTTCATTTTGTTCGTGATTTTTTGGAAGTTCGTGATTGGAAAGCGAGTTTTGGAATGTTTTCGTTCATTTTTGTTCGTGATTGGAAAGTGAGTTTTGGAATGTTTTCGTTCATTTTTGTTCGTGATTGGAAAGCGAGTTTTGGAATGTTTTCGTTCATTTTTGTTCGTGATTGGAAAGTTTTGGGTTGTTCGTGATTGGAAAGCGAGTTTTGGAATGTTTTCGTTCATTTTTTGTTCGTGATTGGAAAGTGAGTTTTGGAATGTTTTTCGTTCATTTTTGTTCGTGATTGGAAAGCGAGTTTTGGAATGTTTTCGTTCATTTTTGTTCGTGATTGGAAAAGCGAGTTTTGGAATGTTTTCGTTCATTTTTGTTCGTGATTGGAAAGTTTTGGAATGTTTTCGTTCATTTTTGTTCGTGATTGGAAAGCGAGTTTTGGAATGTTTTCGTTCATTTTTGTTCGTGATTGGAAAGCGAGTTTTGGAATGTTTTCGTTCATTTTTGTTAGTGATTGGAAAGCGAGTTTTGGAATGTTTTCGTTCATTTTTGTTCGTGATTGGAAGTGAGTTTTGGAATGTTTTCGTTCATTTTTGTTAGTGATTGGAAAGTGAGTTTTGGAATGTTTTCGTTCATTTTTGTTCGTGATTGGAAAGCGAGTTTTTGTTTCGTTCATTTTTGTTAGTGATTGGAAAGTGAGTTTTGGAATGTTTTCGTTCATTTTTGTTAGTGATTGGAAAGGAGTTTTCGTTCATTTTTGATTGGAAAGCGAGTTTGGAATGTTTTCGTTCATTTTTGTTCGTGATTGGAAAGCGATTTTGGAATGTTTTCGTTCATTTTTGTTAGTGATTGGAAAGTGAGTTTTGGAATGTTTTCGTTCATTTTTGTTCGTGATTGGAAAGCGAGTTTTGGAATGTTTTCGTTCATTTTTGTTAGTGATTGGAAAGTGAGTTTGGAATGTTTCGTTCATTTTTTTGTGATTGGAAAGCGAGTTTTGGAATGTTTTCGTTCATTTTTGTTCGTGATTGGAAAGCGAGTTTTGGAATGTTTTCGTTCATTTTTGTTAGTGATTGGAAAGTGAGTTTTGGAATGTTTTCGTTCATTTTTGTTCGTGATTGGAAAGTTTTTTTCGTTCATTTTGTTCGTGATTGGAAAGCGAGTTTTGGAATGTTTTCGTTCATTTTGTTCGTTCGTGATTGGAAAGTTTTGCATTTTTGTTCGTGATTGGAAAGCGAGTTTTGGAATGTTTTCGTTCATTTTTGTTCGTTTTTGTTCGTGATTGGAAAGTGAGTTTTGGAATGTTTTCGTTCATTTTTGTTCGTGATTGGAAAGTGAGTTTTGGAATTTTTCGTTCATTTTTGTTCGTGATTGGAAAGCGAGTTTTGGAATGTTTTCGTTCATTTTTGTTCGTGATTGGAAAGTGAGTTTTGGAATGTTTTCGTTCATTTTTGTTCGTGATTGGAAAGTGAGTTTTGGAATGTTTTCGTTCATTTTTGTTCGTGATTGGAAAGTGAGTTTTGGAATGTTTTCGTTCATTTTTGTTCGTGATTGGAAAGTGAGTTTTGGAATGTTTTCGTTCATTTTTGTTCGTGATTGGAAAGTGAGTTTTGGAATGTTTTCGTTCATTTTTGTGTGATTGGAAAGTGAGTTTTGGAATGTTTTCGTTCATTTTTGTTCGTGATTGGAAAGTGAGTTTTGGAATGTTTTCGTTCATTTTTGTTAGTGATTGGAAAGCGAGTTTTGGAATGTTTTCGTTCATTTTTGTTAGTGATTGGAAGTTTTGGAATGTTTTCGTTCATTTTTGATTGGAAAGTGAGTTTTGGTTTTCGTTATTTTTGATTGGTGAGTTTTGGAATGTTTTCGTTCATTTTTGTTAGTGATTGAAAGCGAGTTTTGGAATGTTTTCGTTCATTTTTGTTCGTGATTGAGTTTTGGAATGTTTTCGTTCATTTTTGTTAGTGATTGGAAAGTGAGTTTTGGAATGTTTTCGTTCATTTTTGTTAGTGATTGGAAAGTGAGTTTTGGAATGTTTTCGTTCATTTTTGTTCGTGATTGGAAGTGAGTTTTGTTTTCGTGTTTGATTGGAAAGTGAGTTTTGGAATGTTTTCGTTCATTTTTGTGATTGGAAAGTGAGTTTTGGAATGTTTTTTCGTTTTTGTTCGTGATTGGAAAGCGAGTTTTGGAATGTTTTCGTTCATTTTTGTTGTGATTGGAAAGTGAGTTTTGGAATGTTTTTCGTTCATTTTTGTTCGTGATTGGAAAGTGAGTTTTGGAATGTTTTCGTTCATTTTTGTTCGTGATTGGAAAGTGAGTTTGGAATGTTTTCGTTCATTTTTGTTTTGGAAAGCGAGTTTTGGATGTTTTCGTTCATTTTTGTTGATTGGAAGTGAGTTTTGGAATGTTTTCGTTCATTTTTGTTCGTGATTGGAATTTTGGAATGTTTTGTTCATTTTGTTAGTGATTGGAAAGCGAGTTTTGGAATGTTTTCGTTCATTTTTGTTCGTGATTGGAAAGTGAGTTTTGGAATGTTTTCGTTCATTTTTGTTCGTGATTCGTTCATTTTTATTGGAAGTGAGTTTTGGAATGTTTTTCGTTCATTTTTGTTCGTGATTGGAAAGTGAGTTTTGGAATGTTTTCGTTCATTTTTGTTCGTGATTGGAAAGTGAGTTTTGGAATGTTTTCGTTCATTTTTGGTGATTGGAAAGTGAGTTTTGGAAATGTTTTCGTTCATTTTGTTTTGGAAAGCGAGTTTTGGAATGTTTTCGTTCATTTTTGTTCGTGATTGGAAAGTGAGTTTTGGAATGTTTTCGTTCATTTTTGTTCGTGATTGGAAAGCGAGTTTTGGAATGTTTTATTTTTGTTCGTGATTGGAAAGTGAGTTTTGGAATGTTTTCGTTCATTTTGTTAGTGATTGGAAAGCGAGTTTTTTTTCGTTCATTTTGTTGTGATTGGAAAGCGAGTTTTGGAATGTTTCGTTCATTTTGTGTGATTGGAAAGTGAGTTTTGGAATGTTTTCGTTCATTTTTGTTCGTGATTGGAAAGCGAGTTTTGGAATGTTTTCGTTCATTTTTGTTCGTGATTGGAAAGTTTTGGAATGTTTTCGATTGGAAAGCGAGTTTTGGAATGTTTTCGTTCATTTTTGTTCGTGATTGGAAGCGAGTTTTGGAATGTTTTCGTTCATTTTTTGTGTGATTGGAAAGTGAGTTTTGGAATGTTTTCGTTCATTTTTGTTAGTGATTGGAAAGTGAGTTTTGGAATGTTTTCGTTCATTTTTGTTCGTGATTGGAAAGCGAGTTTTGGAATGTTTTCGTTCATTTTTGTTAGTGTTGGAAAGTGAGTTTTGGAATGTTTCGTTCATTTTTGTTAGTGATTGGAAAGAGTTTTGGAATGTTTTCGTTCATTTTTGTTCGTGATTGGAAAGCGAGTTTTGGAATGTTTTCGTTCATTTTTGTTGTGATTGGAAAGTTTTGGATGTTTTCGTTCATTTTTGTTAGTGATTGGAAAGCGAGTTTTGAATGTTTTCGTTCATTTTTGTTGTGATTGGAAAGTGAGTTTTGGAATGTTTTGTTCATTTTTGTTGTGATTGGAAAGTGAGTTTTGGAATGTTTTGTTCATTTTTGTTCGTGATTGGAAAGTGAGTTTTGGAATGTTTTCGTTCATTTTTGTTAGTGATTGGAAAGTGAGTTTTGGAATGTTTTCGTTCATTTTGTTGTGATTGGAAAGTGAGTTTTGGAATGTTTTCGTTCATTTTGTTGTGATTGGAAAGTTTTGGAATGTTTTCGTTCATTTTTGTTCGTGATTGGAAAGCGAGTTTTGGAATGTTTTCGTTCATTTTTGTTCGTGATTGGAAAGTGAGTTTTGGAATGTTTTCGTTCATTTTTGTTAGTGATTGGAAAGTGAGTTTTGGAATTTTTCGTTCATTTTTGTTCGTGATTGGAAAGCGAGTTTGGAATGTTTTCGTTCATTTTTTGTTCGTGATTGGAAAGTGAGTTTTGGAATGTTTTCGTTCATTTTGTTCGTGATTGGAAAGTGAGTTTTGGAATGTTTTCGTTCATTTTTGTTAGTGATTGGAAAGTGAGTTTTGGAATGTTTTCGTTCATTTTTGTTAGTGATTGGAAAGTGAGTTTTGGAATGTTTTCGTTCATTTTTGTTGTGATTGGAAAGTGAGTTTTGGAATGTTTTCGTTCATTTTTGTTAGTGATTGGGAAGCGAGTTTTGGAATGATTTCGTTCATTTTTGTTCGTTTTTGTTAGTGATTGGAAAGCGAGTTTTGGAATGTTTTCGTTCATTTTTGTTGTTGATTGGAAAGCGAGTTTTGGAATGTTTTCGTTCATTTTTGTTCGTGATTGGAAAGCGAGTTTTGGAATGTTTTCGTTCATTTTTGTTCGTCGTGATTGGAAAGTGAGTTTTGGAATGTTTCGTTCATTTTTGTGATTGGAAAGTGAGTTTTGGAATGTTTTCGTTCATTTTTGTTAGTGATTGGAAAGTGAGTTTTGGAATGTTTTCGTTCATTTTTGTTAGTGATTGGAAAGTGAGTTTTGGAATGTTTTCGTTCATTTTTGTTAGTGATTGGAAAGTGAGTTTTGGAATGTTTTCGTTCATTTTTGTTAGTGATTGGGTTGGAATGTTTTCGTTCATTTTTGTTAGTGATTGGAAGCGAGTTTTGGAATGTTTTTCGTTCATTTTTGTTAGTGATTGGAAAGTTTTGGAATGTTCGTTCATTTTTGTTAGTGATTGGAAAGTGAGTTTTGGAATGTTTTCGTTCATTTTTGTTAGTGATTGGAAAGTGAGTTTTGGAATGTTTTCGTTCATTTTTTGTTGTGATTGGAAGCGAGTTTTGGAATGATTTCGTTCATTTTTGTTCGTTTTTGTTAGTGATTGGAAAGCGAGTTTTGGAATGTTTTCGTTCATTTTTGTTCATTTTTGTTAGTGATTGGAAAGCGAGTTTTGGAATGTTTTCGTTCATTTTTGTTCGTGATTGGAAAGCGAGTTTTGGAATGTTTTCGTTCATTTTTTAAAGTGAGTTTTGGAATGTTTCGTTCAATTGGAAAGTGAGTTTTGGAATGTTTTCGTTCATTTTTGTTCGTGATTGAAAGCGAGTTTTGGAATGTTTTTCGTTATTTTTGTTCGTGATTGGAAAGCGAGTTTTGGAATGTTTTCGTTCATTTTGTTCGTGATTGGAAAGCGAGTTTTGGAATGTTTCGTTCATTTTTTTTTCGTGATTGGAAAGCGAGTTTTGGAATGTTTTCGTTCATTTTTGTTCGTGATTGGAAAGTGAGTTTTGGAATGTTTTCGTTCATTTTTGTTCGTGATTGGAAAGCGAGTTTTGGAATGTTTTCGTTCATTTTTGTTCGTGATTGGAAGTGAGTTTGGAATGTTTTCGTGAAAGTGAGTTTTGGAATGTTTTCGTTATTTTTGTTCGTGATTGGAAAGTGAGTTTGGAATGTTTCGTTCATTTTTGTTCGTGATTGGAAAGCGAGTTTTGGAATGTTTTCGTTCATTTTTGTTCGTGATTGGAAAGTGAGTTTTGGAATGTTTTCGTTTATTTTTGTTCGTGATTGGAAAGTGAGTTTTGGAATGTTTTCGTTCATTTTTGTTCGTGATGGAAGCGAGTTTTGGATGTTTTCGTTCATTTTTGTTCGTGATTGGAAAGTGAGTTTTGGAATGTTTTCGTTCATTTTTGTTCGTGATTGGAAAGCGAGTTTTGGAATGTTTTCGTTCATTTTTGTTAGTGATTGGAAAGTGAGTTTTGGAATGTTTTCGTTCATTTTGTTCGTGATTGGAAAGTGAGTTTGGAATGTTTTCGTTCATTTTTGTTCGTGATTGGAAAGTGAGTTTTGGAATGTTTTCGTTTTTTTTGTTCGTGATTGGAAAGCGAGTTTTGGAATGTTTTTCGTTCATTTTTTGTTCGTGATTGGAAAGCGAGTTTTGGAATGTTTTCGTTCATTTTGTTCGTTTTTGTTCGTGATTGGAAAGCGAGTTTTGGAATGTTTTCGTTCATTTTTGTTAGTGATTGGAAAATGATTATATGTTTGGTGTGGATGTGTGGTTTTGTATGCGCGCTCATGTACGTGTATGCATACACACACACAAGCCCAGATACATACACATACATGCAGACATTTGCATAGACAGACACATACATATAGACATCCACACGCACAGACACACACACACACACACACACACACACACACAAATATATGTATATGCAAATGTGTACAGTAGGTATATATATATATATATATATATATATATATATATATATATATATATATATCTTTTCTTTTCTTTCTTTCTTTTATGCTATTTTCGAAACACAATCATACACTTATATCTCACGCCAATACCATACACATCTTCACCTTTCCCCCCCCCCCCCCCCTCCTCCTTCAGGCGTGTTTGCGAGCAACGGCCACATTTGGCAGACGAACCGACGCTTCACCCTCCGTCAGCTGAGAGACAGGGCATGGGCAAGTCGAGGCTCGTGTCAGGA